CAGGCAAGGAATGCTATGATGCTACAGCGCTACTTGCAAATACATCTACCTGTAGCAGACATAGTTGCCATATGTTTCCCTTGCGGGAACTAATATTTCTGCACGCAAAGCAAGAATAAACTGGAATTGCCACGCATGGCCGCTGTCCTTCAAATCATCCCGTGATTTTGCAGCCTTTCGGGCTTGCATAATGAAACGTACCGCTTCCGTGTCAGCAATTACAAGTTCACATCCACCGTTAGGATCGTCGCATAAGAGTCAACCAGCATGACTTCCATGCCTTCTCTTCGCGAGCTGAAGTGAAACAAATTGGTGAACTCGTAATGCTCGCAAAAAATGATTTATGGTTCAAACCAATTAGTATGTTTCGAGAAGCACAAATTCTCACATTTCCTCAACGCCTGAACAGCAGCCACTGTATGTGAGGCACAGTTGTGATTAACGTAGTCATCAGTTGCCTCTATTGACGTGACATTTGGGGAAAAATCCGAAGTCGTCATTGCGACAGGCAGAGGCGTATCATTCTCAGCACTCGCTCGACGAGATGATGGTTGCGATGGTAAAACAGCATGGGTTAAATGTACATCACTTGCGATGGGATGGACACAGTATCTGAAAGAATTAAGATAAATCTTTTCTCTGTAATCCGCGCACTTGCTAACCGACATTACAACATGAAACGATAAATGTTTCAAGAAATATCTAAGCACGAGACAAATTACATGTACAAGCGCACCAAACTACAAAACAACTCTAAAGAATGTTAACTACCCAAGTGGTGAAGCATTTACATAGTTCCATTCCTAAAACGGTAATGATTGAGAATCCAACCAAAAATCAATACGCCTTCGAAACTTGATATGTTTTTATATGGCTGGTCTTGTTTTGCCGAAAAAAAAACGTTTGGCGTACCTGTCTATAATATGCTGCAGAGACGGAAAATGACGTCCAGCAAGAAGAAAACCGTCAGTGCCTTCCGCTGCGCCGCGAATTAAAAATTTCTCTATTTTGTTTCGGGTATTCACCAACAGTGCAAAAGCATCTGCTCCTTGACTTGACGTTCGCACGAGAAATGCACCAGCACCAACTAAAATTAAGGAACATGAGCTTATCATAAAATAAAATGAAAGTCACCAACTGAGTTGCGGAAGTGAGGAAGCTTATTTGTACCCAGCAGAAACAAATACCTCGTTGTGAAGAAGCGCATGAGGTATAGCGCATTTTATAAGCACTTTGACCATGACGAAATTTTTCGTCATACAGAGTGCCGTTGTTGATAAATTTTATTAGGCAATATTCCTTGATGTCCCCCCAAAAGCAGAAGCAGGCCCCCTTCCTTGCCCTGCACTAGCTGTGACGACGTCCTTAGATAACTTTCTTCGTCAAAGGTAGCGAATCCCATTTAGCAGAGGATTGGAGCAGCCACGCGACGACCGTTTATTGAAGCAGCTCTCAAAATGACGTCTTAATGGTCTATGGTCTTTCGACGACTTCATAGAGCTCATATGTACAGTGCACCATGTTTCCGTGGGAAAATTTTCGTGATGTCATGTCGTTTGGAGGGAATTCTGGCAGTTTTTTGAGTTCGATTAATAATGTCCCTTCATTTCTCGATGGTTCATTCAGTTTGAATTCCGCGCAAAGTATAAGTAACCTTCGTTTTTGAATGCGGAACATCAGAAACATTGAGAAGCATGCCAAGTTGGTACTGTTTTGAGAGAGGTGAGGATCCAGAATAATAAGGTAGGCCGCAGCGCATGTGAAGCATGAAGCCAGCTGTAGGTCACCGTAGGTAAGCAAGGACATGAAAAGTTGCAGAGGAAGAGAATTTGGATGGCACCGCCTTCCGTCGAGTGAAGGCTATTCAGAAACCAATTGTAAACCAACGATATGCAACAGAAATCGAACCGCCCGTTCAATGTAAGGGTTCAAGAAACACAAGAAGAAGAAGAAAGAAAGAACCAGTGTGGTAATGAAACAAGCTAACACCAACAAGAAGAAAAGAACTTTCAGGCTCACCGCAGTTCGAACTAGTACAAATTAGAATACAAATTTCTCTTTTGAAAGAAGTAAGACCACACGTAAACATGCTTTTAATGCTTTTCTGACTCGCTGGCTTCTCTTTTTCTTGCTACGTTATGGGAATAATCAAATAACAATCGGAATTGTAAAAACGAAGCAATCGATGAAAAATGAACCTGGATGAGATCTACGAAACCTATGCTGGAATAAGACTCACCGCATGTTAGCATTTTCAACGCTTCCGTTGTTAAAACAGAGTGGAAGTACGGCAACTCCTGCACAGACAGCGATTCCGATAACTGAAAATTGACATTAACACTCTTCACTTCCGCTGGTACAAATTCCTTAGGAAACTGAAAAACTAAATGGATGATAGAGCAAGAGATCTTGAGAAAGCATAAGCGAAAGATAAAGAAGCCGTGTCTCATTTCCGTGCAGAATAGCGCTGCATGATAAAGAAAAATTTGTTTTGCGGCACGTATTCCAACTCCCAAATGGCAAAATTCTGCGAACACATTAAACAGGAAGAGGGAATAACATCAAACAACTATCTTTAACTTTTGCTCTAGCCTAAAAAAAAACTTGTAATAACGAAGCAGGAGCGGAACAATACTGGTTTTTTAGTTGTAATGCCGTTTTTTCTTGCGCATACATTCTTTGAAACTATTCGGTTCGCACCTGACGACTATTGATTATGGGGATTTAGAGAATAAGTTTTATACCAAAATTCGCAACCAAAATTCGCAAGCGCACAACGTTGGAGCAGCAAAATCCCAACTGTGCAATAGAATGATTGTGAATGCATTTCCAATCTATTTGGGAATTTCGCAATCTGCCACAACGTAATTACATAGCACAACGCACCCCACCACGTCGAGAATAACCATGAAGTTGTGAAAAAAGCATTCACCCGACAAAAGTATTTGCTTCCATCAGGGTAGGCTATCAAATTAATAGAGAACGATGACAACATTTCCACCGATATTGCATTCAGAATTGAAAGTGGCAGCAACGCCTTTCTCTTTTAGGCAAGCAAGCTAAAAACAGGAATCAACTCACAATAGGCGCTACTACTGCCTTCGCAGACAAATAACCCGTTTGACCCGTGTTTTCGTTCTTTGCTAAGATGAAAGCTCCTTCGAGAACATGTAATTGCGTTATCACATCACCTCTCGAGAAACTGAAAAATAGCGCATAATATCTAAGAACAATGGAAATTCTGAAAGTGAAACCCATCCCAAAGAGCAGCACTTGATTTGAATCCTACCTCAACTCGTCATTGTCCGCTAGGTCATCACACTTTGAAAGGGCTAGATATCGCCGCAAGTGAACAGGTCGGGACGCCTAAAAAAGGGCAAAATTGAGCAATCAGTCGCAAAGGATTCAGGTGAAGAATACCTTTCAATACCGCTTCGTCATTTACCTGCAGACGACGCGGAAGGATACACAACAAAAGATTGCGAGGGATTGCATTTTAGAGAAGTTTCTTTTTAGCACTTATTCATCCACTATCTTTAGTTTCCCAGGTTTCGCCTTTCCTCCCAAAAGCCTTCTCTTCCTTCAGCCTTCGACAGGAAATATACAAAATGTTCCCGTCCTTCACCGTGCGTCGCGGCTCCTATTTCAAGACGGCTAGATAGCAAAACTTTGGTAGTTGAATGCGCCAGGTTTGTCGAGTACAGGAGGAAGCACACCAAAACTTCGTAGTCTTCATTGCTACTTTCTGATGAGCGATAGGTGAAGTGGTAAGATTTCATCTTATGTCTTATGTGAACCCACTGCAAGGCACTGTTGGAGTCGATCCCAGTCGCGGATCTCAAAGGCAGCGATTACGATAATTTCTGTAAGAGTTAAGAGGGGACAGGGGGTGCTCAATGGTACGCCAATGGCAAAAAAGCAGAGAAATCCGTCAAGAAAACGCAAAAGGGACCCCTTGTTCAGTTGATTTTCGCTCAAGGAGGGGCAGCGGCTAAGACGGCAGACGTATGGACGAGTTTACCGCTACGTGTCTGGTGGCACTATGCTCCATTCCAGTTGCTCCAGTTGTGCCGCTGTGGGCAACTCAGCTCGGACAAATCACCAGCGAAACTAGTGGTGGAACAAATGGTTGACGGACTACTTGAACTCAGCCCTTTACCGCCTCTGCGCTCTCTAGCGGGTCCCTCTCCTCTCCAAGGCTTAGTCCTAGGGCATTCTCTAATCGTCTGTGCTCTAGCCATCGCGGCAGGACCATTGAGGAAAAATCAAGTAGTCCGTAAACCGGAACAAATAGAGAGCCGTGGCAATTCCCAAGCGCTATTCAGCACTTTTCGTTTCGAAAGCATTACATCTCGCTCCCTTAGCAGCCAAGCTATAGCTTCGTGAGAGCGCGTATACTTCCCTCGATTGCAATCGCTTTATTTAAGCGGCCAACAATCCCAATATTCGACAGTCCGCTCGGACACTCTCACAATCAGGTTATTAGAGGTACCTTTTTTCGCGAATAAGTTGGATGCCACAAACGTGAAAGAGGACCACTTTGAAACTGAAACCGCGTGAAAAGGGCGCCACAAGGTTACGATTAGAACCATGATCACCTCAAGCAACCACAGCTACAGTTGCGGTAGCTCCTCCATCTATAATACTTGTTATGCTCTCTCGTCTGTTTGTCGCTCGCCTCCGCCAAGTGTCTCTAACAATAAGGCTGGTGTCAGAGTCCGCGATCCGTCGCAGGTTTCGCTGATTTTCGCGATTTGCGCGATTCACGCGATTCACGCGACGGGTCACGGAAATCACAAGTGCCCGATCAATACTGCAAGGTGTTCTCCAATCCTGCCGCCACTTCTGCTTGATAGTGATGGCTGAATGACGACTGCTCATGATTCCACTTGTTTCATATTCAGTGTTTCAAATGTTCACACACTTGCAATTTTTGCGATCCGTCGCGTGAATCGCGCAAATCGCGAAAATCGCGAAAATCAGCGAAACCTGCGACGGATCGCGGACTCTGACACCAGCCTAAGATCGTTTTTCATATAAATCTCATACCATTAGAGGAGGACAGGGCCATAGTTGTGCTTCCTACTGATTTTACTCCCCTTTTCTCATTTTTTCAAGCAGCAGCTATTATATAATACCTTTCCCATATTTCTCCACTTTGCTGTCACGGAAGGTTCCCTTAATGGATAGAAATGTAATAATAATTTTGGGAAGATAATGTTCCCCAACACTCTTCTTTACATTGTGATAACATTGCTTCAATTCTTTTCTCGTTTCTTGCAGCACACTCTTGGCAATCTTTACGACCTATTATCAGACGCCCACCAGTTGTGCAAGCACTTTCACTCGAAAATTCCTGCCTTGAACAGAGCAGCTTGACAAGCCACGGTGCTTATTTCATCGTCTTGATGGTTCCTCGAGCACCATTAACATAATTACGTTGTTTTAACCACTGCATTCGAAATCAACAGGTACGACAAAACAGATACCCATGTGAAATGTGAGTAAATGCTAGCAGGCGCAACAGTGAAGAAATCATTAAAATGGCTTAAAACGCGCGAAGAGGGCCTTGTTTTTTAGTTAATTTCCGCGTTGTGCTAGGTACTCACCCGTGTTGCGCAGGCACTTAGCTTATCCATCCTGCTTTAAAATGCTAAATCTTCGACAGCTAAGTGCAGTGAGCGAAGCAGCTATTGGCGCGAAGTGGCCAGAGGTGCGGAGAGGAACTTACAAAAGAGGTCTTTCAGGGCAAGCCGCACTTTTGGAAATGGTTTCTTGCATATTGTAGGGACGCATGTATGGACCACAAAACCATGTTTCGTTTTCGCTGAACGGTTTTAGTAGTATCAAAAAAGTGGTGAATGATACCCTTGATGGTTCGATCCCCCGCGGCGACTAAATTTTGCAATCAAGGTTGGCGGCCACTTGTTGGCTTCAAATGGTCCTGACGATGAATTTGACATCTGATTTTGATATTTAGCGCGATTTGGCACCAAACCGTAGGCGCCAACCCAAATGCAAAATTTAGTCGCCACGGGGGATCGAACCCTTAACAGTACCTTATGCTTCTTTTTTGGTACTGCTATAACCGTTCAGCGAAAATGAAACATGGTTTTGTGTTCCCTACATGCGTCCCTACAATATGCAAAAAACCGTTTTGAAAAGCGTGGCTTGCCCTGAAAGACCCCCTTGCTAGACGAGTAAAACTGCTTCTTCGCCCCTTCCACGCGGATATGCCGCCTCTAGAGCCCAGCTTCCACTCATAGTAGGCATATTCGCCCTTCTTCAACATCCAATTTATCATACAATTGCCATGTAGTATTATTTTACACAGGGTGGAACCAAGCCTAATCAACCACTACAATCGTTCAGCTCACACAGTGAGTTCCAGTTGTTCAAATAGAAAAAAACGGTGGGGGGGTCACAAAATAACCACGCTCACACACACTTCCCACTAGTGCTCTTTTTTTGAATTGTTACAAAAACCAAAATGCTTCGACTGGAAGCAAAAGAATCGGTAAAAAGACTCGAATAGACGGGATCCCACAGGTTCACTAATGTATAAACTTATTATGTGTAGACAACTTACAGATATGACCGGCGAATTCAAAGTCGACGGTTGGGCTTGGACTGGCTCAGCCGTATCCACCATCTCACAGTGATGCTGTACGGCTTCGGCTAATGTGGTAAATTTCCCCGCATTCAAGTAGAAAAAACGTCCCAACTGGTGGATCCTAGAAAGAAACCAGCTACAAATGAGAAATCTAGTCCATGAACTCATACTACCCTCTATTCTGCGAATAGATGTCGAGTCTTTTCACAGAATAATGCAAAAATTAGAATAATACTCACGGTAAATGCAGCAGTAAGTGATTGTCGGTCACACAGGATAGAAAGTATCGAGTAGGGCCAGCTTTACGCACGAGAAATCGGCCTGGTTGGGCGACATCGAGTAAAACTTCAGCCTCCGTCTGCGAAATCTCGCCATGATACCAAGGACGGCCCGCTGACTCCGACGGTGAGATAATTTGAGACTTGAAATGTGAAGGAATTTTTCCAAATATAATCTAGTTTCACAAATCGATAAGTTCAAAGATTTCAATTTTTTCCCTAATCTAATATCGCCGTTTATCCAGAGGAACTGAGCACAGATTAGTCTGCCGGAGAATTTATAGGTTCGAAAAAGCATGACGCTCATGTTCGTCATGATCATCCCAAAGTAAGCTACCTGGCCCCTTCCCTTCTACATAGGAACAGCGAAATTTCAAAGAGTTATTGTAAAATTAAATGGAGCCCTTGGTATGACTACTAAGATGGATAAAAATTTCGAAATACCACTAAAAGAACAGAAAATTCAAAAATAACAACAGCATGATAGAGAATGTGAAACGAACTGGCAATCGCGAGCTGGACGACGACGTCGACTGCAGCATAGATGGGTCGTCGTCGGGGCCATCCGTGCACGATGAGGTCGCAATCTCATTCGATGGGAGCATCTTCATGCGCTATCATGTTGTTACGCCTTCTATCATAAAGTACCTTAACGATTAACATTAATCTTTCACACTTTACGGCTTTTAAGATCGTCGAAACAGATATGCGTTTCATAAGCCCCATTCACAATTGCTGCATAGCCAAGATATCGAAATCAAAAAGCTAATCAGTGCATAACCCGTTATAGCCAATCCATCGATACATGCATTGTTGCCGAATGATAAGACAAGAAATAGTTCCTCACAGGAAACTGTTAACAATGTCGAACTAAATCCTATGAGATAACGGAACCATAAAGTCAATGATAAAGGAACTGATACAACAATAACAATAAGAAGCGAAAAAAGAAGACACATGAATGGGCAAAGAAAAGTGCATGCGATGGCACACATCGATCGTTTCCAAGAACGACAACATCGAAAACACCGAAAGTCACGTTGAGAACAGGAAATGGAACCATCTCCCACAGTCAACTCAACGATGATAATGACGCCAGGACGAAAGTAGAGATATGTAAGAAAATCTTTATGAAAGATCGTATTTCCTAGAAAAACGATGAAAGAACCGAGAATGAAGGAGAGCGAATAGAATTCGGGAACAGTATAATCATTTATCATTGCTTTCAAAGGCAGCTCTAGCTCTAGAAATTCCAAAGGGAGATTTAGAAAGAGCTGATACTACTGAAATGTAAAAGCAGAGGTGCCAAGTGATGTGTCTATGAAAAAAGAACTGGCAACATGGTCACAAGCCCGAAAACGAGACCTTTTCTCTTCCGCTGATTTCAAATCGAGACGAGCTTACTCCTAAGGTACAGCTCGTTTGGACGAGTTATGGGTGTTGTGACTGCGATCGCGAAGTCTGACACCTACTAAACCACTGGCATTATGCCAACGGCGATCGATAGATAGGCGGTGCCGCTTCGATGGTCGGTGCACCGTCCTCGTAAAATAAAATCGAACTGTGACGGTAAAATTTTCATTCAAATACATTGTCAAATTGGATTTGCGCCACCCTTCACTGCCCGTTTTCTCTTTTTTTTCAATGATTTTATCGCGAGCTCTGTCGTCAATGAGTATTTGCCTTCCACTAGAAGTCTTTCCTTGCTGTTTTATTTTACAGAATCTCCCGCTATGACCACCACCCTAATCGGGAGGTCTTTCAGGTGTACCCGCGCTTTCTCAAAACGGTTTTTTGCATGATGTAGAGGGATGTGCGTGGATTACAGAACTGTAGTCCATTTCCGCTGAATGGCTCTCTGAATGCCAACAAAAGGAGTGAAAATAATAATAAAACAAATCAATTGTGTTGCTACTAGTCCTTTCAAGCGTGGGTGCTGCAACAGCGAAGGATCGTATCGTAAAGTGATGTCGGGAATCTGCTGCGATTCCCCATGTGGAAAATAAGTGCTAGTGCATGGTGCCGAGCGTGGTTGCCTCGTCCCTGAGGGTCGCCACCGACTCTATCGTGCTCCGCTGACATCGCTTTACTGCTCTCCGTTTTCTCTACACAAATACACCATCTAATAAGCAGTCGGGAGATTCCGCCTAAACTCCTAACTGCCGCGCTTAGAGCCCAGCAAGCTGACCATTAAAATGCTCACCATAAGACAGAGAGGAAGAGCCTGCCACCGAACGCAATTTTTCCATGGCTATTATATCGCATGCAACAATAGCATTAGTTCCTTAGAAACAGACTGCGCCACGCGAATCTTACCATTGATGTTCCATCTCCCAATAAGGAAGCCGGTAAATATACACACTCACCGGCTCTTCTTATGAATGGAACACCAAGAATCGCTTGAATCTCGCGATTGGTCGCGGCTTCACAGCTGACTCGAACAAACCTACTTTCCACAATCGTAGACCAACGCTTTTCAAATTTGTATAATTTCATCTAGTCGCGCAGTCTTCAGAATTCCACTTTGATTCATAAATAAGCATGCGACTGTATTAAAAAGGAGGTGGAAACATTGTTTATAAGATACAAAGCACAAATAATAGTACTAAGGATAACAAGGTTTGGCGGAAGTGGTGTAGTGGCAAGTGGCACGCTTACCACGCGAGCGGTCCGGGGATCAAATCCTGGGTCGTGAGTCGCCCGGGCCAACCAAGCCTTCCATCCCTCCGGGGTCGGTTAATTGGTACCAGACTTGTCTGGGAGGATAAAAACACTGACTTGTACATCGGCTGGCCCCCGCAAGTCATTGTATAGGCCACATCGCATTCAAACGCCACTACGAATGTACAAATGGAAGTAGAATGCCGCATCCCAAAAAGGGATTGATCAACGGCAAATGCTTTATCTCCTAATCATAATCACTATGTGTGTTTTTTACGGAATGATTTCGTTTGGATTCGATTCGTTATCATTAGACTTGACCTAACGAAGAATACGTAACTGAAACGAAAATGGTTCAATAGATCTAAAGCCTGTACATTTAGCAATTTTTATTCATAGAGGGTGGTTTATGTTATCTACCGTGAACATTCCATTTGATTGATCCAAAGATACGAGAAAATGCGAGTTTGCAAAGCTGTGGGCGTATAGAAAAAGAAGTGAACATTTGCAGTTTATGCAAATATTGAACCACGGACTCGCTTTGTCGTTTAAATGAAAATATGCAGTGGCAATTTGTATAACCAATCACACCATTTCTTCTAACACACAAATCCATTTACAAAACAGAAAAAAACAGCATTACATATCTCCCTAAAAGCATCTCCAAGCCAGTATAGGCAAGCCGTGGAATTGTGAACCAGCATTCTCAATATAAATCGTTTTCAGCACTTCCAGCAGGAAGAAATTACTGGTAATAAGCCACTACGATAAAGTTGAAGTCATGAACCCAAAGTTACGATTAGTGCGACAATGGGGGGGGGCTTACTAGAAACACTACAGATCAGGGTGAACCCTAGCGTTGGAGAGGTCGCCTTATCCATGGCTTGCATCGTTGAAGCTAAAGGCAAAGGTCGGCAACTGACTGTAAAGATGCGAAATGGAGCGACAATGAAGAAAAAACGGAATATGCCGTCGACAACGCCGAAAATAGAACCCCGATCTCCAACAGCAGTGAAGAGAGGGGGCATGGCAGGAAAACCTGTCCGAACGAGTTTTCGGATATGCTAACCATTGCTAGCTCCGCGGCAACAGTTGATATGGCAATCAACCCAGCTGATTTTACGCCCCATGCCAGCCACGCACCTCTCCGCGTGGCGTCATAGCTACCGCCGCAGGCGCGATACCCCCCCCCGCGCCCCCCACCCTCCTTCCCCGGGAGCCTCACTACCGAGCTGTTTCGAATTAAGACCGTAGTGCCATCTTTGCGGGTGCGCAAGCACGCACAGAGGTGATGGAAGGGATTGGTTTGGTTGCTTGGTTCCCGACCTTTGCCTTTAACAAAGTTGACTTGGAAGCTGATGGATTCCGAGATGATCATGCAATTTCTCTCGATCTCGAGCAAGCTTATTCTTCATAAGATATCATTGCATCAGATCATTAAGCCGTACGGTATTGCCGAAGATGTCAATGCTCCCTCAATCAAGTCACTCACAGGTAGATGTGACCATAACTCTGATTCCTCTCAACCCACAGTTCGAGAAACGCCTGAGTGTGTGTGTGTGGTGTCTGATCATCAACCTTCTCACTCCATCTTCTACCTTGAGGATTCTCTGTCATATTCAAGTTGAGGATCTAAATTTCAGGCTCTCCACGTTTTTTTTTCAATGTAGGAACAGATCAATTTGAGACTTACTTCAAAGAATTAGCTAATTTCGAGTTGATTAGGGTTAGCATTCGTAAAGCGAAAATGCCTTCAAAAAGCTGATTTAGATTGAGAAGTTGGTGAACCTTCTTTTGATAGACTACTGGCATTCAAATGAAGTTGTCGAAATATTTCGTCAACAATTTGCTCCAGATAACCGCCCATTTTTGAATTCCAGAAGGCTAATATTCTGGATATAAAACTACTGAGCACCAAGACTACTCGTCAAAAGGGGAGGGGACGGTGAGCCCGCACAGAATCTCCAGGAAATCTGTCAACAGCGGAAAACGAATTACGGTAAGGCTACTGAGTCGAGTCATTCAAGCACAAGGTTACTCACAAAAACTGTAATTTTAGGTTTCTCACAGATCACTGCGAATACCCTGCCGGAGTGAGTAATCATGCATGAGAGCCCTGCAACGAGTGGTTGAGTCTATAAACATCAACAGCTGGCTAGGTCAAAAAAGCACTGCGGAGAACTTAGTTCTGGAAGTCACCCAGTCTTGTTAAGTCGAGAGAACTGCCGATAATAGGTAAGAATGCTTCTTAAACTCTTATTTCGAGCTTGTGCTTCGCAAAGTTTGAGTGCACAGAAGGCAATCAAAGTGAATTTTTGCCACTACGTGCAGTCAAAGAGAGCCTGCACCCTAAGCATTTTTTAGAGGTACAATCAGCCAAGGGTTGAATCCCAAAGGCGTTGCCATACGATCAAGCAGGTCTACCGCGGTGCTCCCTGCAAACACCTTTCAGTCCAATGGAAGTGGCCTCCACTCAAAGGCAGAGAAAAGGATCAAATTGGTGTGCTCTCGCCTCGAAGGAGATATGAAGTGTAACGTCAATAATGGAAAATAGGAGGAAACCGTTGACAAAACCAAAAATGAAACCTTCAGTAGCAGCAGAACGAAGAAGCATCCATTTGTGGGCGGAATCCATGAGACTTTTCGAGCCTTAGCACCTCGGCTTGTTAAAGCAATAACCGCGGATGAGGTCGTGTCGAAGAATCTATTCTGTGGGTGGAATACATTAGCTCGTGCCGTTGTCGCGGCTCGAAGATGCACAACAGGGGCGCTAAGGCCTTACAAAGTGACCTGTTGACGAATGATGTATTATGGACGAGATACCTCGCGCACACCCAATGACACGCAGCGAGGACGTAGCGGCTCGTTCAAAAACGCGCGGGTTAGTGGAGCCATGGAGCAAGCAAGTGCAGACAACTCGTGCGGACACGCCCTTCCCGCGTTGAGGGGA